CAAATGATGATATAAAATCTTAGCTGGTGCCTTTATTGCGGATTTTTATTACCAAATGCATGACTATTATAACAAAATAACGATATTTGCGAATCAGGCTAACTTGATGTTTTTCTATTGTCTACTAATTCGCTTGATATTTTTTTGCAATCATAATTTATTCGGACATCTGTTTATTAAAACTTTTTCTTTTATTTTTACGTACAGAATCACCCCAGAAATGGATTAACGTTATTTCCGGACATAAATAATATTTACTTAACTATTTTTTTGCATAACATTAATAATTTTTATTAAAAGAATCTAAAAATGTAGAAATTTTAAATAATTAAATCATTAAAAAATATTTATTGAAATTTATAAAACAGTATTTGTTAACAAAATTAAGAAAAATCCAATTAGGATTCCTCTTCTTTAATGTATTATTAGGCATAATTATAATTTTTTTTATATCACTTTATTTTTGTTATCTAATATGTACATCGCATATTGTACGAATAAATAAAGTTTTGTCCAAAAATCAGAATTTACCCTCTTTATTAAATAATGTTACATACACCCATAAATAAATTTTATGTTACTTTTTAATAACTGACGAATAAAGTATCAAGAATATTTTAAAACCACTTAATTCAAACTCTTCATGATTTCAGTTTTAATAATATTTTATTTTAAATCCATCCATATATTTTGCCTCTACCAAATAATATCGGTGGGTCAATAAAGATTAGCGGTTTTGAATAAATTATAACAAAAATCATATTAAAGTTGCCAAAACTGAACCTTATTTTTTTTAAGCTATAGCTTTTTTTGCCTTCCAAAAGTTTTAACCTAACTTCATATTACTTTTTTCTTTGCGGATATTTGTAAAGCCATGTTTACAACGACAAACCAGTCACGATAGTCCAATTTAGAAAAAAAAATTAGAATTGGCTGCCATTTCACGCGAAAGTTTTAATAAACTTTAGGTTCACTTTTAAAAAAGTATTTGCTGGAAGATGGTTTAAATCTGAATAATGTTATTTTTTTAAAAACGTTTTTCTAAAACATTTTGAAAAATTGGTACTATTTTTATTTTAATTTGTTCAAAACCGCTAAATATTGTGTGTTTTTTTTGTTAGGTCTGTATATTTGTTTTTTTTTTATTTTAATTTATTAATAATAGTATATTATTATGCAAGAGATAATGCGCATAATCTTAAGTATAATACTATTTTATCTTTTCCAATAAGTGGAAATAAAATGATTTTTAAAAATAATTAAATAAAATCTGACATCTGCCTAATGGTTAACCTCACTTTTTACCAAAATTAAATGTAATTGTATTTCCCTTTTTCTAATTTATAATCCGATTGGTTCAAATTACAGGCCAATCACTGATGCCTAACAACGTCATTAATGAGTTCATTATTTCCGTGTACAGAAATAGTGTTTAAAATTTCAAAAGGATCGGTGCAGTAGTTTTGGAGTTATCAGGGGCACCGACTTTGAAAACGTGAGTTGTGGGAAAAACGCTTTAAAGTTTTAAACACTATTTCTGTACATCATTTACGAGGTAACGCTGTCGAGTTTTTTCGTTTTTTGTTCATAATTTTGATTTCGCAATAACAAATTAGCCGATTTTTTCCCACAAAATTGTGTTTTTCACTTCAAAGTGTTCGAAAAAATGAAAAAAATTGGAAAAAAAGAAAAAACTCGACAGCGTTACCTGGGGAAAACTATTATCTAACGAATGAACTTTGATTTTTTGATTTCAGATGATCCAGCACCAAGTTATGAGGGGCACCGCAATTCAACTTTTTTTCGAGACACGTCCGAACAATTGCTGCCATTGCCGTATTTTTTAATATTTATTTGTACAAATTTGTTGAAACATTCTTCGAATGTCATACTTCAATGTACCATTGGTTGAGTAAAGAAATTTTAACTGCGTCGTTAGAAAAAAAATCACGAAAACATGGCTTTTTTCGTATGATTTGACCTTACCCCCCCCCTTAAAAAATAAGTAGTTTAATTCATGTTACTAGGTGGGCACAATTCACGTGAAGCGAAATGTCAAAATTAAATATTTAATTTTAGTCAAAATAAAACGTCAATTTTTTTTTTGAGCCAGACACAGTTTACATTTACTTCTAATAATTTTATTCATATTTTATCATATAATTTTGATAAACAAAACTAGAAAATTTTTTTTTTATACTCTCACATTAACGAGCTGTGGCTTTATTGCATTTTAGTCACGGGCTGAAGTTAGCTTTTTTATAAATTAGAGAAAAGTTCGGTTTTGAAATGTTTAACAAATAAAATTGGCTTAAAATTCTTCTTTGTGTTCGTCGTAGATAAAACTAATCTAGACACTCGTTTTTAGACACTCGTTTTTATTAAACACTAGCTTGCAAGCTTCGCTCGTGCCTAATAAAACTCGTAACTAAAATGGCGTTTATAAAACTTGATACATAATATACTATTAACACATTTTTGACATGTAATTTAAAAGGGTTGCAAACAGTCTGAAATAAAAAAATTTAGATGCTCTTAGGAGCACTGAAAATAATGCGTCTAAGAACACTTAGTAGCATCGAAATAGACAAACTATATTAGTCAAATTTATGTTAAGTATAACTTAATTAATTAAATTTTATTTATTAATAATATTTTTTATCCTCCTAGGGCATAAAAAAGTTTTTCTCCCCTATATAATGAAAACCATTATAACCGCGTCGCCCAACAACTCATGATAAGCTCATTATTCCCGTTGCCAGGCATCAGTGATTGGCCAATTTTATTATTTATTGTGATTTGGACTAATCAAGTGGTTGCAATTCCAAAAACATCATGGTCGTCCAAGGTAAACCAAATAAAATCTGACATCGGTCAAATGATCTAACCTCACTTTATAATTTCTCCTTTATTTCTCCCAATGAAAATTAAGCAACAGTAGAAAATGCATAGTAATAAACTTAAGATAATGGGCATTATTTCTTGTATAATAATAAACTAGGTATTACTTTAAACTAACTCCCAGTATCAGCTTATGTAACGTTTGAAGTTTATATTTTATGAAGTAAAGTTTTTTATATGATTCTTGTGTATCACTCTCTCAAAACCTCACCTGAAAGCTTCCTACTTACTCTCTGCAAAAACCAGTAACGGTCGGAAGGCCAAGACAAGTACTTGTAGTACCTGTAGGTTGGCCAGTAGCTGTACGTGGGCCACTCATTGGAGTAGTAGTTTAAGGTCCTCAAGGGATAATAGTAATTGTAATGCAGGGTGAGGGGACGGTAGTATTTGGTCGTTTCGGGGTAATAGGTGTAGTCAATACCCGAGATCGGGGTGCTACAGTAAATCATTTTCTGCAAGATAAGAATTTACCACTAAAGATGTATGCTTTAAAAAAGTTGTGTGTTTGCTTTAATATAATGTTAAATAGAAAATAAAATTCAAATTTGGAACTTTCACATAAATCTAAACAGAACAAAACTGTATAATAAAGACGAAATAATTAAAAAACTATAACTTAAAAACTCGTTATTTGAATTTTAAATCTAATCTAATATTTATAGCAAACATGTTGTTTCTTATTGTTTTAAAGCACTTTAAAAAACTTGCCACAGTTACTTCATGGTTTTTTGGTAATGATTAAATTGTACTTACCCCATTGCAATAAATTAAAATTTACTTATTAAAAAAATGTGTAATTTTTTTTTATAAAAAATTATTTATTAAAAATAAAATATATATTTTACATTATATCGACAATATAAATCACTTAAAGTTATATGTATATTCTATTATTGAACACATTTATATTTATTTACACACAATTATTCAAATATTTTTCATTCGCATCATATGACAGCACCAATCTTTATCTTCTTAGAATAAATAGTAATCATTAAGACACTAAAAATAATAATAAAATTTAGTTTATTTATGTTTATAATTTAACCCGGCACGTCCGCCATTTTTGACAAAGTTTCAAAAATGGCGAATGCTCCGGGATTACATTTAGTATCATTTAACTCACTTGGAGTCTCCTCAATGCTCTACGCGACGCATAAGGTTCCATAAAATACCTATACATTTTATATGTGGGGTTCCAAGTGGGGTAATACTCAGGTGGGGTAATGGGAAATCTGTAGTAGTCGCTGATTGGACCCCATACTTTAAGGTAATGGTATCTAGGTCTGAACGACTTGGGGGACGAGTACAAGTATTGACTTTCGAAGTCCTTTTTGTAATTTTTTTTCGATGATACTATCTCAGTATCGTAGGTCGTTATGCTTTTTTTCGAATACATCATCATTTTGCTAAAAATTTTGGTTTTTGTCCGAATTTAAGCTAAAATATTAAAACTTTCTTTTCAATTTTGTTCTTTTGTCATACTGGGCAATTTTAAGTAGGTACTGTGTTTTTTATGAGCATAAACTAATAAAGAAAGTTTATATATCACAATATGTAATATGTAATAGTATACATGGTGGTCCAGTTCTTAAAAGACTTTTTAAAAATATTAAAGAACAACCTAAAAAAGCAATAATTTGACACCCAGATTTATTAATAGATAAACTCTCAGCTGGTGATTCAAATGACATAAATTGGACCACCCTGTATATAAACATATTTTGATTAGGTATAGAATTTGTTTCCAGTGTTTATTAGCACTTTTAAAATACCCAGTATGTATAAAAATATTATTTATTTTTATTTGTTATACCCAGTGTTATATTTTTAAAAATGTATTTGTTTTACTTACAATATTTGTTCTAAATCGACTCTACAACTAAAACGACACAAAAATACTAATTTTATTATTCAAACAACATAGATTATAGCGAAAAAGTATTGGGAAAATGCCAATTATGTACACCCCACTTAAAATTTGTTAAAAATAAATGTGACTAAACCATTTTTGCATACTTTACAAAAACAATTACCTTTAAAATTAAAAACTCTTATTATGTAAGATTTTGGAGCATGAATAAAATTGTGCAAATTTAATTTGGCAATTCGATTTATTCAACAAAAAACGTTACAATACAAATAAAATTATTATAATTTTATTAATAGGTTTAATTATTTATCTTCTGCTTGATGCTTTCCTTCTGACAGTACCTAGGCTGTAGTTATTGCTAGATACCTATAAATAAGTTTTAATATTATGTTGATTTTAAATGCCAGGTATTTTGTATTTATAAAATGATAAACTTTCCTTGAGCTGGGATATTTATTTATATGTCGATGTTTCTTTATGTATTAACATTTACAATATAAAAATATTGTAAAATGTAAATATACAATGTGGTATTTTTGGTCGCACAAATATAATAAAATTTAAACCCAGGGAAAGAAAATCAATTTTTTTTTTAATTTAACTCACTCTGATTTGTCTAAAAGCATATTCACTGGGAAGGGTTTCAATTAGTTGATTGTAAGGCCATTCCCAGTCCAAGACCCTTCTGGGCCTGCTGTAAATATAGTTTAAAGGCCCATAACCCAGTTGTTTTTGCGCGAAATAGTATTTTGAGTGTGGGTAATAGTGGGGGTTATAGTCCATTTTTGAAGAGGTATTTGTATAAATAATCATAAACTATTTTTTATACCCTAAGATCTAAAAATTAAAATATGTTAGTCTATTGTCCTTATCTTTCTTTGAATATGTGGTCATATAAATAAAAATATTTGGGGTTATAAAAATAACTTTACTTTAAAGAACTAAAGAAATATCCTCATAGAGGGTCAGAATTTCTAATATTAGCACGAAAAATCCTTATTCTTATTTATTGTTAAATTATTAAAAAAAACGTTTTAATTTTTTTAATCCAAGAGATCTTTTACAGATAAAATTAAGGCATAATTAGTAAAACAAATCTAAAACGCCTTTACCAATCTTTATGAAATTTTGTATAAAAATATAAACTTATATTTCAGTTTACGTGTTTTTCGTGTTTTTTTACGGGTTTACAAAAAAATATTTTTAAAGGCCTTTTATTTAACAATAAAAAAATAACTTTCAGGGAATTATATAAAAAATATGATGTTAAAGACCGTATTTTTGTTACCCTGACATTTTCAAACGAACAGTTACAAAGATACAGCGCTTCAAAATTGGTAAAAATTTTGCTGAAAAGTGAATATTTTTGACGACTTTGAAGCGCTGTATTTTCTTGACTGTTCGTTTGATTTGTACAACATTTTAGGGTATACTTACAAAAATACGGTCTTTCACAGCATATTTTTTATTTACTTAAAAAAAATTTCCTATAAAAGTTTTTTTAAGCGTTTTTATTATTAAATAAAAGAACTTTAAGGATATTTTCTTAAAAAACCCTTGAACACGTAAACTACGTGTAATAAGTTAAAGTATTTTTATAAAGATTGGTAAAGTCCTTTTAGAGTTTGATTGTTTTTTACTTGTTATGCGTTAATTTTGACGCGCAGTGTATAATAGGTCAAAACTCATTTAACACAATAAAACAGCTCAAATTTGCCCCCATAATCCAAAAAATTAAACGCTAAAAACTCATTTACGGAGTAAAAAGCCTTACCCAAAAGTAAAGTTTTTAATTTGCAGAAAAAATTGTTGTTTTTAAATTGTGCAGGTAATTTATTGTATAAAATTGCTTCAATATAATATGGGTTAATAAGTATATTATAATGGGTTATAATAAAATTACTTTACCAAATGATTTTTTTAAACTATATTTAGGCAATTATTGTAAAATGAAAGTTTTGGCAACTTTTCGAGAAAAAATAGGGTAGCCATTTTGTTTGTGCTAATTTTGAAAATTCTGACCTAAAACAAACAATCTAAAATAATCAAATAAAAAGGATTTCTTTATCTTTATAAATGACCGAAATTACTATAAAACAATTGCTTACGTAATCTAACATTTCACAATAGATTATTTTTACACTTTTGTTTAAAATTTAAAATTTTTATTTAACTTATTTTAACCCAATACTTTGTTTTTTATATAATCCACATAATACTGTAATAAATAAAGTTACTTACATAAATTTACCACACACTAATGTATAAGATTTGAGTAAAGAAATTACTAAACTATTTGTTTCATTCGTCTGCTATTTACAGTGGTTTTTTTGGTTTTCAGCCAAAATTTGACTCCACCTTTTGTCCCCGGGAATTTTAATTTTTCACCGATTATTACACACTTTTATTTTTAATTTTTAATTTATTGTTTATAAGATTTGTTTTTGTTAATTTGAATATATTTACAATTGTATTATAATAGATATTTATGCCATAAGGCTGAGAAGAAAGTCTTTTTGTGCTTTAGAGTTGTCACCAGTTATCGTATTTTTATTTTTATTTTACAGACTAGGATGTAAAAAACTTAACCTGATTGGTCTTAATTATTTTTACAGCCTAGGAAATAATGGAATACTTTTGTAATTAGCGTTGACAATAATAAAGACTAAATTATAGAACGCTTAAAGGTAAATTTATTTAATCTTTATTGTAAATTTTTAAACAAATGCTTATTAAATTTGTATTTAATAGGATGTAATAAATTAAATCAGTTTAGGTTATATTTACATTGATGTCCTAAATAACACAAATCATATATGTAATGCAAACAATTTATTACAGAAATTTTAATTACATTTAATAATATTTATGTATTTTCTTTTTAATAAATGGAACTCGATACCTGTAAATTATGCAATATATATAAATTTACAAAACAATAATAATTCTATTTTTGAATAAAGGTACATCTGCTGTAATGTCACGTGGCTTAAAATTATTCATCGTGAAATTATAAATATACTTTTGTTTTCAACGTGTGCAAATGTTTTTTTAAATGCACACCTAGACGAGATAAATATGTTTTGGCAATAAAAATTAAAATAATGAGATAAATTGGTGTTTTTAAAATAGGTTTTAAGTAGGTCGATATTAATTACCAATTTTTGAATAATTGATGAATTAAAAAACGATTTTTTAATTTTTATTAATTTGAGTTCATCCTTAAAATTAAAACCCAAAATTTAATTTTAAGGATTTTGTGCACTACTTACTGCAACTTCTTCCTCCATATGTGTGTTTACGAAAATCTTTAAATAAACGGATTAAAGCTGAAAAGGTAGGCAAGTTGTTTAAATTGTTAATTAATTTAATTTAGTTTTATTTATTTATAATATCATTTCAAAAAATTAAAAATAGAAAACGCTGAAAAATATGGTTTACGATCCTTAAATAAATTTTTTTTTTTAATAAATTACTAACTAATTACACTGAGTGACAGCAATTTTGCCATATGGTGGCCATCAACTTTTCTAAGGTATTTTGGGTGCCCTTATTTCAAAAATGACCATAATTTTGCTTAATTAGATATTTTTTAAAGATATTGCCCAAAAACTGTTTTTTAGTTCCTAATTAAACTAAAAAAAATATACACATTCATAAGGTTATTGCACTTGAAAATCCTGTTTTTAACAAAAATTTTACAATTTTCAAAATTTAAAGTTTTGTAAAATGATCAATTAAATATCTAAAATAACGCCTTTGACGAAGTTTATATTTACGGTCATTTTTGTTTGTAGCTGTTGTACGACTTCTTAAATAAATTCTTGAAGCAGTAATAAATTAAAATATGTATGTATTTATACAGGTTAAAAATTAAAAAAACAACAATATTACTGTTTAACAATAGTAAAATAAATGTAAAAAAATGGCAATATTTTTTTTAGAAGAAATATTAGATCATTATTAAGTAGTTGTACACAGATTTTTTTTAAAAGACGTAGGAGCAAAATGGCCGTAAATATAAATTTTGACACCCGCGATTGTTTTAAATGTGATTTTGGCAATTTATATTTAATTGGGTTGAAATTTTAAAAATAAAGTAGAAAGATAAAGCAACAATCTTTTGTAAATTTTATTCAAATCGGAAAAAAAATTGCTCATGTTACAGCACTTTCAATTTTAAAAATTGGTCAACGATTTTATTTTGTTAAAAACACTCATAAGCCTGTATAGAAAGGCTTATTATTTGTACCCAGTTCAAAAATCAAATTATTATACACCGCCGTACAATAATGAATATTTATTAAATTTACATGGGAATTCCCACTCTTAAGAGTGGTTCCATCTATCGCGTTTATCTCGATAGCAGAAAAAATCATGTAAACTTACAGGTCACTGTAGATTAAATATATGTACATAACCTATAATATGTCAAATTTCAAACCTGACAAAATGACGCAAACTCAATAATTTTAATGTAACTATGTACAAAATAATTATTATTAAATGCTTGAAAAAAAAAATATTACATATAACCCTGCGAAGAAACCATATTAACTTCCTGTTGGGTAATGTCGTATTTTATTTAGTTTAATTAGTTATTAGGACAATAAATTTATAATTTTGGTTTTTAAAATCTTATCAACTAATTTTATTAAAATTCAATTTAGAAATATATAATTAAAATTCAATTTAGAAATATGTTTGATATATGTATTAATATGATGTTTTTGATATCCTAAAAAATATGTAAAATATAATAACTTATGGAGATAAATTTTAAGGTGAATTTTTTTGTATTAAATGAATAAACAAATTTTATAAAATAGCATTAAATATTTTCTTCAGTTGCTAGAAATTTAATTTTATAATTATTTAAAATTAATTAATTTTTTTTTGTTAAATCTTGTTTTAACCCTGCATTTCTAGACACACAATTAATATTAAAATAACCAAAACATAATTATTAAGCTTCATAACTTTAGCCTCTGACAAACAGCTTAAGTACCCTAAAATCAAACTTACTCTTATACTTCTAAAAGAATCACTCGAAGGTATAAGATCGTAAAAATAAGGCGAAACTGGCGTGGTAATAGCCGGAGAATATAACGGCCAACCGAAATATAAACTTAGATCCCCGTATTCTCTATATCTTTGGTAGAATCTGGAATGAGGGTAGTAGTCAAAATCGTACCCCCTATTTAGGTAACGAGGCTTTCTAAGCAGTGAGATCATCGTCTACAAATGGTACTGTTGAATTAAAAATTAGGGATTTTTGTATTAACTTACTAATTTTGTATGCTTCACTTACGTATATATTATTAATAGTATGTATCACAGATAACTAAATTTGATTGAGAGAATCGGTGGCATTTAGATAAAGTAACTTGGACTAAGTCCAAAAGAAAAGATCCCCACTTAAGTATTTTGAATCATAACTTTAATGTTCTTATTTTTAATGATATAATTTCGTAAACAGCGTTGGTTTCAAATTATAAACCCACTAAGAAAGAAATTTAAACTGTAATTTATAATTTATTTGCCTAAAATGTAGAGTGCAATATTTTAAATGTAAAACTTTATTTAGCTTGAATGCCCAAATTAAATTGGCTAAAATTATTATTTTTGTTTCAAAATAATTTTTAGGTTATATCATAGTAAACTAGAAAAAGCCAACTTGGCTAAGTAAAATAACTTTTCAATTTAGAAGTACATTATTAAGTATATTATCAGAAATATCCACAATAAAACATGGTATAACATTACATGTAACATACATTCTTTTATTTCATATCCCCCTTAGATCTTTGTTTCGCATTGTTTCACATATTGCTAACTGCTATTGCAACCGAAGTTTTGTCTAGTAGATATTGTTATTCACCTATAATAAACAGGTTAAAAACAAAATATAACCAACTTCTTTGAGTTACTCACTCTGACATTTCTGAATGACTGTTCACTTGGAATACCTTCGGTCATGTATGGGTATGGTAAAATTTGGTAGTTGTATATGGAACTTCTGCCAAAAGGCCAATTAAAATATAAACCAAAACTCCCTACATCTTTGTAGTATTTGTAGTATTTTGAATGGGGGTAGTAGTTCCAATCGTAGCCATAATCGCGTCTAGATCTTCTTAGTTTTAACATGTTTGCTGTTTAAAGAAGTATCTAGTTTTTATTGTACATTTTTAAGGAAAAGTTTCAATATTTACATTAGATAATAAATAAAATTGTTACTTATTTAAAATAATAAACCACTGGCATTTAAGTGATTTTTTATAATTTTATGATAAAAAATACATTTTAAATTTCTAGTTAATTTTTAAAATACTACATTTGTCATTAAATATTAGGCAGACAGAAAAAATATATTTTTTACAATATACAGGGTGCATTAAGTTTATATATGTATAAGTAAATATTTGAATGGCTACAATGTCGGTTATATAAGAAAAAATTGCGCAATTACCAACATATTAAAATAAAATATAAAAATAAAAAAATAAAAAAAATTATTATAAATTCGTTACTTCTGGGAACTTTTACATGTAAACATACACCATCCATTGTTTTTTAATGGATGTCATAACTTATTTAGTAAGTTTGATACATTGTTATATTTCTTGATTTTTTGTATCTATCAATGTAAAATTCCAATAGGAAGGACATAAGAAAACAAAAAGGGGACGTTTGAAGTTTTTCTTAATTAAACCGAACTTGTAGCTCATTAAATAAAAGGGATACCCATACAGAAGGGTACTTGCTGCACTATGTAGAATAAAAATTTTGACATTTACATTTAAAAAACCTAGTTCCGCTATTATATTAATGTACATTTTAATTTATTTAATCAAAAGAATTCTGTGGATCAAAGAATTATTTAAAAAACTAAAATTCAAATTTAGCATCAATTCATAGTAATTTTTTCACGTTCCAATTATGACTAGATTTTAAAGAAAGAAGTCTATAGACTAATATATAAGTTATGTGAGCCACCACTAATTTGTTTAGTTAGCATTTTTAGTTTCTCATTAAAAACTGCAATTACATATGTAAAGATCATTCTCTGTTTGCATTTCATATTGTACGTTACTCTGCCATTTAGTTGTAAAATAAAATTTTGTCTTTTATAATAAAAAGTGTTTTTTATTAAGTAAAAACTTAACTGGCGCAGTCTTGGTAGGATTAGTCGAAGTACAACATCGTGTTTTACTTGTGTTTCAACACTCTATCGACTAATAAACACTTATCGAACATCTAAGACATTTTTCGCAACTTGTGACGAGTACGGTCAACAGTGAACCCAAGGATTTTGCCGATCCTGGATAAAATCTTGCGTGATTCGCCTGATTCATCGAGAACCAGTGGGAGCTGTGAAATCTACAGAGGATCAAAGGGCACTCGTTTCACATCAACAAGGAGCCGCAAGACCTGCAGTAATCAAGGACAAAAATCGCCTTCAGAATGCTACAGGATCTTATACTGTAAGTCGTATTTATATGTTTTTTGATTTTTTCAAGAGATCTTGTTTTTAAACTGCCTTGAATTACTATTATTTAAATACAAAATTTAAACACTTATTTAAATTTTATAAGTAGGTACTTTACCTTTAAATCTTAAATTTAAAATCTTTATTTCAAAATTGACGAGTTAACCGAGTTATTAACCAATTTAGGAATCAATACAGATTCTAAATCTAGCACTATGACAAACATTCCATCTTTCGAAACTAACCATTTAAAAGCTATTCCCGACTTTGACGGTGACACGTTTACCTTGTCTCGGTATATTAGTTCGTGTGAACTTTTGATTAAACATTTTTATAACCCAGCTGCAGATCAAGTAAATTGTTACCAAAATAGTTTAATATTGCATTGCCGAATTGGTAAATTAAAAGGACAAGCGAAATTAGTAGTTGATTCGCAACCTATCAACAGCTGGTTAGACCTAAAAGACGTCTTAACTCGAAATTTCTTTGATTCAAGAAATGAGGAAAACGTCATAATTAATTTAACAAATACGAAACAAAACGAAACCGCACAATGTTTCTATGAACAGTGCTTATCTCAACTTGAACTCAAGTTGAATGCTCGATGTACCTTACACGAGCCAGCCAGAAACAGACCTATCAAGATTAAACAATATCAAAAATTAACATTCAGCATTTTTTCTAAACGGACTGTTGGAACCTTTTTGTACAAATATTTTAAATATGCAATATGCAATATTTATAATAAATCGAAAATCAGTTAACCAAAATTCAGTTTAAAAACATAAAATAGTTCAAAAACCTTTACAACTAAATTCATATCTAAAATTTAAAAAAAAAATTCCAAACTTTTAAAATTTTAATAATTTACCCATACAAAACCCTCAGTTTTCATTTATGAGGCGACCATTTCAATACAAAAATATAAAGACCTATTCCGGTCAAACAAAAAATGTTTTTGCCCAAATCCAAATTATCGACCCACATATAAACCTACGCCTATATGTGGAATTTTACAAAATCCAAGCAAACTTTTTCAATAAAAATAGGAATTTTTTCAAACCAAATAGACAAAAATCAAATTTTGTGGCAGAAGAACTTTATAATGCGGAAAATCAGTCAGATGAGTTTTTCGAAGAACCCTCATATGATCTCAAATAAAGTAAACAAGATACTTATGTTATTTCAGGAATCATGCCAGAAGAAAGCGAACAAGTCACGTATCATAACGATGAGTATACAAAATTTTGAACCATAAGTCAATTAAAAAGTTTTTGGTAAATCAAAACAACGTACCGATAAACTAAAAAATAAATATCAAAACAAGTAGTACTTAACGTCAATAGAAAGTAACGAAAATTTATTCTTGCAGCCGATTCCCGGGCCTTCCAACAATAGTGAATCTACCTTTTATTACCCAATCCTTAAATATTCAGAAGACTTTGAAACTTTAGAAGATAACCCAGGACTACTTTCATTTCTAACTGCCTTTTATCAAAAACTACTATTTTATAAAGACCTAAAACTCCTTGTTAACGAGGCAAATTTAATTAATATCCAATACGACAAATTGATTACTACTTTGGGACAAAATTACACACAAATTTTATTAAATGTAGAAATAGTAGACATTAAAAAAAACTTGTTAAACATTATCTCTCTAAACGCGGTTTAGGTATATTAGACTATAATCTAATTAAAACAGTAACCAGAAACCTCGATGATAACGACGGTCAACGCTACGTTCAGCTGTTGAATAAATTACAACATAATCAAAAAGATCTCCAAATTTACTTAAACAAACAAAATACAGTATCGCGAAAATTAATAAATAAGTTTAATGCAATTATGTCAACCATACATCATAAACATTTACTTCAATACAAAATTAATAAAATAGCATACTTGAGTAAAAATGTTCAACCAAATAATCACATTATATTTATATTTAATTATATTAATTTAATTATAATTATTATTATAATAACGATAGTTAGGTTAATTCTTTTGAAATTAGATACAGCAATAAACTTTTCAAAATTAAGCAAACTACATTCTTCAATATTGAGTAACTATGACTTACTTTACGAACTCACATTATTAAATACAAAACTAAACTTACCAATAAAGCCTGATTATGATAATATATTCGATTACAAAAAAAAAATATTAAAGTAAGCACTTAAGTTTTTAATTTTAAATTAATTTTTGTTTTGAATACACAAATTATAAACAATGCAAATTTGAGCATTTGTTTTCCATACCCAAAAAAAAATAATAATATATTCATGGCAGTTATACAAAAAACAATATTTCTGTTAAAATTTGATAAAACTTATATATTCGATAACCAGTTAAACTGTAAGCAATTAAGAAAAACTTACTTATGCGACTACTCCGATGAAGATAAATTAAACGACCCCAACATCTGTGAAACAAAATTACTGGATAATATTACCGAAATCAAAAGCAACCATCACCGAAGATTGTAACGGCTAAGTAACGAACCTCATTGTAAAACAACCTTGTCTGCTCAAGTCGATCAACTGTCATATAATAGTTGACGATAAAATCATCCGAAGCACAGACATTGAGATGACAACCTACAAAGTCAAATTCGATACAAACATACTATCAATCAAAGAAGATTCAAAATATAAACCTCGATGATCTAATGGACCTCAAGGAATCTCTACAAGAAATCCCTTTGAAGGAACCTAAATTGGAAATTCACCCAATCTGGATATTTTTGCTTTATGGTTTTGGAATGTTATGTTTGTCCCGGTCCATCTGGAGAAACTTGATATTTGTCTACCGAAAAAAACCAACGCCTCAACCAATACCAACTAATTTGGAGACTATCGACCCCCAAATAACTTTCTGATAAGGGAGGAGTTATGTGAGCCACCACTAATTTGTTTAGTTAGCATTTTTAGTTTCTCATTAAAAACTGCAATTACATATGTAAAGATCATTCTCTGTTTGCATTTCATATTGTACGTTACTCTGCCATTTAGTTGTAAAATAAAATTTTGTCTTTTATAATAAAAAGTGTTTTTTATTAAGTAAAAACTTAACTTATATATATATATTAGGGTGAGCGAAAAAAACTAACCTATCGGTTTTATGGGTTAAAATGAACCTACATACCGAGCAAAAACTTTCCCTGCAAGGCAAAATTTTTTGCTCAATTTTAAAAGGTGAGCATTCTAAGTTTTCCATTGAAATAACACGTAAAAAAATCTTTTTTCATTAAAAAGACTATAACTTTTGAACCATTTGAGATAAAATTTTTTACGTCGCGGATTCTTGTAGAGCACAAAATTTCCCAAAGAATCTATACCAGGATTATTTTTTTTCATTAAAAAATTCGTATGTTTGAAAGCTTTGAAAAGTGTAAAAAATCACTAAAACTGCAGTTCAAAAGTTATAGTCTTTTTAATGAAAAAAGATTTTTTTATGTGTTATTTCAATGGAAAACTTAGAATGCTCACCGACACCTTTTAAAATTGAGCAAAAAATTTTTCCTTGCAGGGAAATTTTTTGCTCGGTATGTAGGTTTATTTTAACCCATAAATCCGATAGGTTAGTTTTTTTGGCTCACCCTAATATATATATATATAGGCTAATATGTTTTAGATATTATAAATTACTATAGTAATTTATAATATCTAAAACATATTAGCCCATCAACAACATGCAGTTTTAGTGATTTTTTACACTTTTCAAAGCTTTCAAACATACGAATTTTTAAATAAAAAAAAATAATCCTGGTATAGATTCTTTGGGAAATTTTATGCTCTACAAGAATCCTTGACGTAAAAAATTTTATCTCAAACGGTTCAAAAGTTATAGTCTTTTTAATGAAAAAAGATTTTTTTACGTGTTATTTCAATGGAAAACTTAGAATGCTCACCGACACCTTTCCTTGCAGGGAAATTTTTTGCTCGGTAT